TTACTAACATCTAGCTTTACAAATATTAACATTTTCTCTTCAAAATGGAAGAGTAGCCAAATATAATAACACTACCTTTTTCAATAAGTTCCATTTTTAATAAGTTTTAAGTCATAAAGAATGGCCCAAGATTTAATTCAAGCAAAATGAAGGAATTTCTTTACAGATTGAACATAATTACTGTTTTGCACCTGGAAAAAAAATGATTGCACCTGCATTGCCATGAATGTAAAAACGCACGCACAACTTCCTGACGCATGATAAAACGAGGAAACGGCCTTGTGTGAAAGTCACACACATGTGATGGCTTGAGCAGCCCGACTCATTTTATATTTTCTCTCTATAAAATATACGACCCTTCCCTCTCAGGCTTTTATCCCATGTGGAAAAATTATGGACGACTGCAGATCACAAATGGCACTCATATCGCGGGGAAATGTAAAATATTAAAATACACGAGGTGGGGTGTGTAGCATTTACTTTAGGGAAATTAAAAATGAATGGAGTGATACTTTAGCTCAATTTAGTTTACCTGTCGAGAGCGTGAGGTTGTGCTGACAGAACAAAATCAGTGTCTTTCAGATCGTCTTGACAACAGACTTCATCATTTTTGCTGAATGATTTTTAAATGATGGTGTCTTGGTGATTTTAAGTGAATGTATGAAATCAGTTCTTCTTAAGTTCATCGCATTAACTATGAAAATGTTCTCAGAACGTTCTGGCAAGGTTCTCTCAAAGTTATGAACAAACATTCTTCCAGCAATGCTAATAGATTGTACGTTCAAAATTATCTGGTCTTTAATAATGTTCTCAAAACATTAGCACAACTTATTCATCATTCATGGAACGTTTTTCTAAAACATTTTAGTTGGACGTTCGTCTAACTATTTTTAAACATTAATACTTACTGTACAAGTTTCAGATAGTTCAGAGAAAATGTAAAAGTAACTTTCTCATAATGTTTGCAAAATGATAAAATGGAACATTCCCTTAAAGAGATAGTTCACCCAAAAATGAAAATTCTGCCATCATTTACTCACTTGTTCTAAACCTGCATGGGTAACCGAACCGAACAGTTGATGGTAGCCATTGACTTTCATTGTATTTTTTTCCATACTATTGAAGTCAATGGCTACCGGCAACTGCTCAGTTACACACATTCTTCAGAATATCATCTTTTGTGTTCAGCAGAAAAACAAAAACTCATACAGGTTTGATACAACTTGAGGGTAAGTAAATGATGACAGAATTTTAATTTTTGGTGAAATATCCATTTAACGTATTGCCTAATGTTCAAATAACCTTTTTTTTTTTACATTTAAAAAACTGGATGTTTTGAACGTTCAGAGAACATTCAGGAAATTTTAATACTTACTAGTTGCACATGGTTCAAAGAACATTCAAAAGCAACTTTCCCATAATGTTTGCAAATGGAACGTTCCCTTAATGTTTCTCTAACATTCAAAAAACCAAAAAAATAATGATTATTTTTTAAACATTTAAAAAACGGGATGTTTGGAACGTTTAGAGAACATTTAGAAAACGTCACTAGTTTCAGATGCTTCAAAGAACATTCCCAAGTATTTTTCCCATTATGTTTGCGAAATGATAAAATGGAATGTTCCCTTAATATTTCTCTAACATTGGAACGTTCCCTTAATGTTTCTCTAACATTCAAAAAACCAAAAAAATAATGATTATTTTGTAAACATTTAAAAAACGGGACGTTTGGAACGTTTAGAGAATATTTAGAAAACGTCACTAGTTTCAGATGCTTCAAAGAACATTCCCAAGTATTTTTCCCATTATGTTTGCGAAATGATAAAATGGAATGTTCCCTTAATATTTCTCTAACATTCAGAGAACATTCTTAACTTAACAGGAACATCAGTATAACGTTCTTATTATTGTTAGCTGGGCTAATGCTTCATAAGTTGCACAATCCTTTTTGTCTTCATTTTTAGCACTAGCTCACTTTTTTTTTAACTAGATCTAATGCATTTCTTTTTGTTTTGCTTGTAAAGTTTTTTGCTATTTTTCTTCATAAAAGACAACGTGCACACTCAAAATGCACTAACATTAGCTGAATGCTTTTGGCTCCACTACTCACCAAGCGCAGTAAACATTTGCTCAAGAAACGTACATTGTGCTTTTAGTTCTACACCGACATAGAAGTACATAAGCAGGGAAGGAACGCCGGGGATTTAAATCAATTATGCTCCATTCTCATGTCCATTTTCCAGGCCACTGATCCATGCCGCCTGTCTCTGACAGTCCTCTACAGCCTACAGGGTAAGCAAGCTGAACACAAGCCGCCTGGGCAGAGAGAGTGTAATGATCCACCCACCACAGTCAAGCGCATCTTAACCACTGTGCAGCCCAGTTAATTGCACAACTTGCTGCTATAGTGAAAACGAACACGAACAGCAGCAAATGCACACGGAATGTGTACTATATGTGTAAACAGATGGATATTTCAGATGCATGTCTGCAATTATATTTAGGTCACTTTTTAGACATGTTCATGGTTTTCTAATACCTTGAAACACACTTCATAATTCCAGTATATTATAAATATTAAAATGGTGATCATGTAACAAGATCACAAGATGTTAATTGATGGACTGGAGTGGTGTTGATTACTTGTGGATTATTGAGATGTTTTTATCAGCTGTTTGGACTCCCATTCACTGCAGAGGATCCACTGGTGAGCAAGTGATGCAATGCTACATTTCTCCAAATCTGATGAAGAAACAAACTCATCTACATCTTGAATGGCCTGAGAGTGAATACATTTTCAGCGAATTTTCATTTGCTTCACTGTTCCTTTCAAAAAATGCAGAGATCTTGTTGCAACTGCTTTAGCGTTCATAAACCTGTAACTATGTGGACGAAGCGGAGTCCAGCTCGGGGTCGTCACATGTGGTTGCCGCAAGACCGCCGGATGCTCCTTCTTCGAATCCGATGGCCGCGCCGTTCTCAAGCCCGCCCGCCACCGCTCACTCAAGGCCGCGGTGTGTGACGCTGTTTCGTTGTGATACACCAAATACACAAAATAATGTTATTTTTAGCAGCATCATATGACCCCTTTAAAACCACTTTCTGCATGAATATGATCTCTCTTGGTAACACAACAGCATCAATATTTATGTTGATATTTATTTAACTTCTGTTATATTTTATAGTCTCTTCTAATTAAATGTTAATGCCCTAATAGATATATAATATTCAGCCTGATTGATTTCACTCATTAGCTCTGTAAGATTGCGTCAATGCTTAAATGCCCCCAGCAGACTTCAGAAGTGCTTACTTAATATAAAGCACGTCTGTAAATCAACCTAATGAATCAAATGCAATTGCTTTGCTGTACTTAAAGCTGACAATTGATTTTGCAGAATGAGAGATGCATATTTACAAATATGCATGCTCTGCAAAACTTGTGTTTGTGAATGTATTCAGCATGCTGAGTTGTAAAGGGGAGTTACTTGCTACCATGGCAATGTTTGAATGTTTACTGCACTGGCACTAGAGTGCACTGTCATGATGTAATGTAATGTTTTATACTACATTTACACAACCAATTGCTCCACAGAGCCAATGAATTTCCATGACTTTTCAAGACATTTTTTTTAATTACAAAGCAATAGTTTAATTAGAAAGCAATGCCAAGCCAATGAAATATTATCAAGCTGAGCATACTTCAAGACATTTTTTTTAATTACAAAGCAATAGTTTAATTAGAAAGCAATGCCAAGCCAATGAAATATTATCAATATATATATATCTATATATATATATATATATATATATACACTATAGCTATCTGACTTTTCCATGACTGATGTTACTTATTTGACCTTTCCAGGCCTGACATTTTCTGACATAAGCTGCACAATTCAGCATAAATTGATGACTTACAATAGAGATCATGATTCTGAACAAAAATATTTATTTCAGATTTACAAACATGATCATTAGGCTACTAAATAAAATAAGGTGTAATTGAATTTCATCTTCTTCTTTTAGAAACACAACAAAGCATGTTGACAACTTGCAAAAAAAATACAAACTATACCAAAATACCTGACTTGTCTCTCTTAAATCAGGTGATTTTTTTATTTAATATAATAATCATATCTCTGCATAATCTGATATTCTCATAATAGCATGTTGGCAAATATTGTGAAATGTCTTGTATATTCAATTCTGATGGCTACAGCATCTACTGAGATGCACATTTCTGAACTTCTGTGTTTCTGCTATGCTTACATCAATAAGTGGCTGAACATTGCATAGAGTGCTCTGTTAATCACATTGCATATTTGCTGAGAAGTACTAAAGATATCAACCACACCTTTACAAAATACGTCATCAGAAAACACCACAAACAGCTCATTCACACTTTGGTAAGGAAGCATCTGTCAGTGTTAAACACACTATTGTCTGTAATAAACATGAGCTTCTGCAGGACTGCTGGTGGCTATTGTGAATGCAACAGCGGGTTGTATTGAAGAGCATCATCCGTGCAGGTGTATTATGGCAGCTACAATATTATCATTTATTTTTAAAATATTGTTGCATGTTACCTTTTACATTTTTGCAATTTACCGAGTTTTTTTTTTTTTTTTCATAATTGTGTTGCTGTTCACATTTCCCTGAAAAGCCTATAATAAGCTGTTTAATGTTACATTGTGACAACGTGCCCCGATATCGGATGTGTGGCGTGTTAAATTAATATGATCTTTTTTTCCTGGACAGCAACTGTGCAAGTGCTAAATAGTTTTGTTTTTTTAGTCAAGGCTGTAGAAATGGACGTTTAAAACCACACTGATAAATATTCGCCAGAGTAAATACACCTTATTGTTATTAATAAATTGCACTAACATGGACAGCAATGTAAAGAGTCATTGTAACACTAACTTAGCCTGAGCCTCGTCCAGGCTCTGGTCGGTGATGGTCATGATCTGATGCAGAATGTCTCGGCATAAAGGAGCACTTACCTGTTTTCTCTTTGATTTCACAGAGCACGCTGAACAGAGCCGGTTTCATTCTGTGACAGTTCAGCCCATGCTTTCTTTCAAGAAAAAACAGGAAGGATACAGAATAACTGATCATTCATACACACCATTAACACAGTGTTTTGCATTCAAAGTTCATCTGCTGTGCTACTAAATTGATCATCTTGATTCCCCTTGATTGCACCTCACAGCACCATGCAAGATCAACCAGTGTTTCTCGTTAGGAAACCAACATTATTATGTTTCATGTGCATTTATAGAGTACTTTTCTTTTATTGTTTTAATGGCATACGTTTATATAAAACCATATCGTTATGGTGAAAACAACACCAATGTGGTAAATGTATTATGATGCATAGTGTCTTGATTTATACAAAAGTGGTAGTCTGCAACAAATGACACTATATAGGCTAACAAATATTTTCTACATTGTTAATAATAATTAAACACCAACTGTTGGGACAACATACAACACATGACATAACTGAATTAATAATGCAAAAATAATGCAAATAATGTTTAATAATAATAAAGCAAATAATGTTTTTGTTTGTTCTAAATAAACACTGACTATTTTTCAGGTCAGGGTATGCTTTATAATTTAAAATTACTGTAGGCCATATTTTATATACTTTTTAAAATATTTAAACTCGTCCAGGCTCTGGTCGGTGATGGTCATGATCTGATGCAGAATGTCTCCGATGTCCTGCTTGTTTCTCGCGTCGGTTCCGTCATGAGGCACCGGTAAAGCCACCGGGTGTCCGGTGAGGGTCACGCCGCCCAGGGTCTGCATCAGATGAATCTGCTCCTCCATCCTCTGACTCAAAGAGCTCTGACTTTTTTAAAATCCGCTCAAGAGAGATTTTGATGCCGTCCTGAATCAGTGCAATGAAAATGACGGATGCGCAAGAGTCCCGAGTGCGCGAAAACAAAAAAGTGCTTTAATAAAACGATCCACTGATTTCCAGAATCAGAAACAGTCTAGTGCACTTCGATGCTTTTACTGTTCATCATTTACCTCGTTGCAATGTTTTTTTCACACTGTTATCCCATGCAGTCCAGTGGCAGCTTCTGCAAAACTTCAGAAAATCCCCCTCTATTTGATTTCCATCCTTGAGTAGAAAATCAATTAGTGATAAAAATGGGATGCATATAAGCTGCTATAAACCACTGGCTTTCCAGTGTTCTTTCTTCCTGTTGTTGAGCTGTGGAATAACACGGACAGGTTGTTAAACGCACATCCCGCTCTTCTGGATGATCTACAGCAGATGTAATGGGTTGTGTGTGGATTCCTGTGTGCGTCTCGAGCACAGCAGCTCCTCCTGTGTTGCACAACAGTGTGCAGACAGTCGGCTCCGCCCACCTGGGCTCTGCAAATGTGCATCTGTGCTCACAATTACATACATACAGGTCCAGAGTCTGGACGAGGCTCAGGCAAAGTTTTACAATGACATTGCTGTCCATGTTAATACAATTTATTAATAACAATTTATTAACACGCAGGTTCGCACGTCACATTTTTACCTCCGGAGAATATTTATCAATGTGGTTTTAAAAGTCCATATATACGGTCTTGAATACAAAAAAACAAAAAAAGCTAATTAGCACTTGAACATTGCACTGTTGCTGTCCAGGAAAAAAAAAAGATACAATTCGTTTAACACGCCACACATCCTATAGCGAGGTATGTTGTCACACCATATGGGGTAAGTTGTCACACTGTCATTAAACAGCCTATTACAAGCTGTTCAGCGTAATGTCAACAGTAACACAATTATGAAAATCAAAATTCAGAAAACAGCGAAAATATACACAATAGCATGCAAAAACATTAAATAAATAAATAATATAAACAAAAAAATACAAATAAAAATATATTTAAAATATTTTAAAATAAAATAATGCATAAAATGGCAAGCATATACAAGGTTGCATGTACAAATATTAAATTATAATATGATAATAATATAATAAGTCAAATAAAAAAATATTTTTGAAAAATAAATACTAATAAAATATATTTAAAATATATTATGTATAAATGTAATATAAATATAAATGTAATGATATAATAGCAAATATAAATGTAATATAAAATATAGCCTACATACTGTAAATTTAAAACTATAAAACACAACTTACCCCGATCTGAAAAATAGTCAGTGTTTAATTAGAACAAACAACGTTGGTGGATAAGATGGTGTTCAATTATATTAAAATATTAATATTATGAGTTATTTTAATACTTCAACAAACTACATGGACATGAAATTATAGTAAGTATTTATAAAGTTTTAGCTTTTAGTTTCGGATCTGTTTTTAGTTGTTTTAATACTACAGTTGATTGCTTCTGTTGTCCTCATTTGTAAGTCGCTTTGGATAAAAGCGTCTGATAAATGACTAAATAAATAAATAAATAAATACAATTAAAAGTGTAGAAAATATTCTATAGCCTATACAGTGTCATTTGTTACAGGCTACCACTTGTTGTGTGTCAAACAAACGGATGGATGGATGGATAGATAGATAGATAGATAGATAGATATGGATGGATGGATGGATGGATGGATAGATAGATAGATAGATAGATAGATAGATAGATAGATAGATATGGATGGATGGATGGATAGACAGACAGACAGATAGATAGATAGATAGATAGATAGATAGATAGATAGATAGATAAGTAAAAGTAAAAGATAGATAAATAAAAGTTATGTAATTTTAAAAGCATGCTTGATGTGGTAACATCTAAGGTATCAGATTTTATTCAGTCAAAGATATCATTTAGTTTGACTGAATCAGCCTGATGAAGTGAAGTGACGTGTGGCCAAGTGTGGTGACCCATACTTGGAATGTGTGCTTTTAGAAACTGAGCAGGTATAAAACTCTCCATGTTGTAAAATGGCACATTTTCAGTTTTTACAGGAAAAAAAAATGGGACAATTGCATTTGCATTGGTGGGAGAATTGTTCAGGCTAATTGAGTAAACAATCTTTCTACTTTTTGCTATTACGCTGTGATTTTGCAAGGGCTAGTGTAAATATCTTGTGTGTATATATATATATATATATATGTGTGTGTGTGTGTATTTTATTCACATATCTTTATTTTTTATTATCTGTGTGTTGTTGTTGTCTCTGTGAACTGAAAGCTTCTCACCAAAACAAATTCCTTGTATGTGCAAACATGATTGGCAATAAAGCTCTTTCTGACCTCTGACTTCTGATCAAAGAAAGTTATTAATTGTAGATATTGTATTATGTGAAGTTTGAACATGCCTCTTAATTTAAGAAATTATAAAGAAAAAAAGGGGAAATGAAAAGGAACAAGGTAAAAAAAAAACATTAAATCACATTAAATTAAAACAACATTTCAAATAATAAAATCAAATAAAAAATAAATAGAATAAAATAAAATCTATCTGTCTATCTATTTTTATTAATTGTTAACAATCTAGCCTTGATTGGCCGCGTCTTGTCCATTCTTCGTTCTAGAGGGTGTACTTCCGGTATGAGGGGTAAACCCGCAGGAAGTAGATTACTGGACCACCAACACAGGAACAACAGAGTAAACAGACACGTTTATTCTGTTTTTGGGACGATATCTCCACAAGTATGAAATGAGACCGTACAGTCAGTGCCTCGCTCGGACGGTGTGGCGCGTCTGTGATGGTTTCAGCCGCTGTTATAGGCATGAATGAAGGTAATGATGCGCTGATGTTTGAGGCTCATCGAGCAGATTAGCACGAGCATTAGCAGGGCCTGACTAGCGCGTTCACTGAGCTCTTACTACGCGTGTCTTATCCTAAATATTAGTCAAATGTAATGTTATTCATATTAGACAGCAACGAGAGTACATTTGTGACCGGCTCGCCCTCATAATGAACACAGTTAATGTGGTTATTGATCAAAAATCGTTAGCTTTCTGGCTAATTAGCATTTTAGCATTATCATTTGTTATTCTGTTTACAAATCAGGATTTTAAAAACGTTGTAACATGTGGTGTAACAGTAAGGTATGGGTGTCCCTGCTTATGTCCTGGGCTAGTTAGGAAGGTTGTTGTTTGGCTTTCAGGTGACCGGAGCGATCTTGACAGCTAGTTAGTAACTAACCAACTGTGTGTATTTGCTTTACTGTGTGTTTATATCTTAAACATCCTCATAAGAACAATAATAGAGCCTGGAAGACTGGTTTATCCATTATACCTGTGTGTATTATGAATTTTGTCCTAAATTTGTTAAATTAATGATTTTAGTTTGACTTGTCGTAAGAAGCTATGTGGATAGTACATATTTATTTTAATTTATGTACTTCTCTAAATATATTCCCCGCTAAAGCCTGACATATGAAATAATAGTTGGAAAAATCTACCCCAATAAATATATAATATCCAGCCTGATTGATTTCACTCATTAGCTCTGTACGATTGCGGCAATGCTTAAATGCCCCCAGCAGACTTCAGAAGTGCTTACTTAATATAAAGCACGTCTGTAAATCAACCTAATGAATCAAATGCAATTGCTTTGCTGTACTTAAAGCTGACAATTGATTTTGCAGAATGAGAGATGCATATTTACAAATATGCATGCTCTGCAAAACTTGTGTTTGTGAATGTATTCAGCATGCTGAGTTGTAAAGGGGAGTTACTTGCTACCATGACAGTGTTTGAATGTTACCACATGTTATTTATTTTTTAAATGGAGCAATTTATTTAACACTTTTGCACAGTTTACGGAGCAGAAATATGCAATTTGTTGTAGATGTTATTTATATGGCAAAAAATATAATTCTGATCGCTTGTAATGTAAATCAGTCCGATCTTGGCAGTATAGGAGACTACTGACATAAAATATGTATAAATAAATATCAGCTGTCACTCTATATCACTCAATATGTCTTAGTAAGATGATATTTAAATACTTGATTTTATGATGAAAGCTCTGTAGTTTCAAGATATATATAGACCAATTTCGGTGTTGACAGTTATGACAGTTTTAAAGTAGCAGTCTATGGAAGCCATGGAATAAAAGAATAAGAAAAGGTCATTTTAAGGTTTATATTTCAAAACTCTGACTTTTTTTCTCACAATTCTGAGATTAGATCTCACAATTCTAATAAGAAAAGTCAACTGGTCATTCTCTCTTTTCCCCTCGGCTCAGAATCATGAGTTTATATCTCACACTTCTGGCTTTTTTTTCCCTCAGAATTGATAAACTCGCAATTATGGAGTTAAATCGAGTTATAAAGTCCGGACTAGGAGATATAAACTTGCATTTGTGAGAGAAAAAAAGTCAGAATTGTGAGATAAAATAGGTCAAAGATGTTGTAAAATGCTGTAACTGTTGGGCTAAGAACTGCATATGTTAATATTATGTAGATCTATTGTTTAAATCAAATGTATGCTTTAAAAGTAGGGTAATCATAGCAGGTTTCATCCATAGTTTGTCCATTTAAACGTCTGCGTTTAGCTTTAAATGGTGTCTTTGACGACAGTATTCTGTAAAAATACAGAAAATTATTTGCATTCCTATTCTGACATCCAAAAGCACAACAATACATTTTTTTCCTCTTATTCCATGGATTTGACCCATTTCCCAACACTTGTTACCAGTGTTTTTCTGCCACCACAATGCGCGTGCAGCTGCAAGTGACGTAACTGTGACGTCTACTCCAAATTAGGGTTGCAAAAAGGTGGAAAATTTCCAGTAAATTTAGGAAACATTCCAGAAATTTTGGAAACTTTCCAGGATTTTTTTTGAATATTCCAGGGCCATCATTTATCAACAGTGCGTAGAAAAGGTTCTATATTTTATCCTACGAATGACATTTAGAATGTGCCTAAGTACAAGAAAATCCGTATTTATCAAACGTGCGCACGCAGTTCTTACGCACATGAGTA